GGTTTTTAATACATATATTTACCTTTTAAGCTATTCTGCCATTTTGAGCACCTCATATCTGCACCTCTCCCAAATTTCCTAATTCCTGGTCCTATTTGATACTTCTTATTCATGCTTTCCCACCTGCTTCCTGGCAGTCAAGTCATGTTCCCAAGTGTCTATCTATGTCATAAAGATAGCTGTGAGCTGTAATTCACTACTACTGGGGACAGGAGATGCCATAGTGGGCATATTTGAATTTCCATAATTAAAGGAAGAGGCAGCCAGAATGTGTGAATTGGTGTCTTATTCTCCTTTATTGTGACCCCACACCAAGCATAGATCTCAGCAAACACTCATCAAGTGTCCTGTATATGATAAATGAGATCTAATGATAAATTATCATCTCCCCCATTCTTAGGAAAAAAAGACAAAGATAAGGAGACCAGGAGGGGTCCTGAGAGAGAAAGAGAGGAGATTGGAGGATTTTGATCAGAGAGAGGGAAGAGAGATAAGAGAAGGAAAGCCAATGTGGCTTTAGGAGGCTACATAGACAAGTTTGGAAGAAGGAAGAGAGAAGGGATATAGCACCTTTAATAGATCAAGGAAATGGGGGAAAATAAAGATGTTAGAAGGAAATTCTTAGGAAATACAGCTGAAGAGCCTACAATATTTTCTCCCTCCTACATTCTTCCAAAACACCTTCAGTATAAAAATGTATACATCTCTTCAATGTTTATAGTGCTGGGATTTGTAGGATTGGGGAATAAATTTGATTCTATTCTCAAAATAAAGCTAAGAAAACCCATTTACATTCAGTTTGCTAAGGTACTTTGAGAGATACTGTCTAAGAACCATAGTCTTAAGCAAAATTCTCCTATCTCCTACAAGAACACTTTTGTGATTATATGCTGTTGTTGTTGCTAGGTGCCAGCAAGTCAGTTCCGACTCATAGTGACCGTATGTACAAGAGAACAAACACTGCCCAGTCCTGCACTATCTTTGCAATTGTTATGTCTGAGCCCATAAAATTTGCAGGGATCTAGAAGAAAAAAAAAGTATCCAGATGCCTGTACCGGCACTTTTCAGGTTTTATGAGGGTACTCTGTCTGCTATGCTTCCAGTTTCTCCAAGGTCTGAAAAACAGCCTTTCATCTCTAGCCCTTTTATTGGGACTATTCCCAGAAGTCAGCTCTCTTCTGCCATGCTAAGGACCATATAATCTCTTGCTTTCCTCTTACTTCCCTCAATAAAAATTCTCGATTTGAACTGGAGAGAAGATACACCTCGAGCCTGACATTCAAACATCTGCAAACATAACGAAGGTTTTGATACACTGCTAGTCTTCATTTACTGCCTAAGGATCCTTGGGTTTGGAAAGAATTTAAATGAAACTTTTGACAGTGGCTTATTTTTTTTTTTCCAAAAATCTTTCAGAAAGGGTGTCATAGGTCGGATTCCCTGGGAGCTGACTCCGAGTCGGAGGTAGCTGACAGGAATGCTTTCCACATAAGACAGTGAAGGAAGCAGGTTTAGGCAAATGGAGATGCTGAAGTGAGCTGCAGTTACAACATAGGCTCATCCTACTGGGCTCTTCAGAAAAAAAAAAAGACCAGTTGACTTTGACTGGACTCCAACTCATGGTGACCCCATGTGTGTCAGACTAGAACTGTGCTCCATGGGGTTTTCAATGGCTCCTTTTTCATAAGTGATCAGGCCTTTCTTCTGAGGCACCCTTGCTTGGACACCAACCTCCAAACTTCCGGTTAGCAGCCGAGGGCTTAACCATTTGCACCACCCAGGCACTTGGGCTTCAGAGATGACCCAAACTGACAAGGGGCCACGCCTTTGTACCAGTCATTGAATGAGGTCTATCCCTGGAGGAAGTGCCTTAATCTCAGGTAAGGCAACTCCGATTGGCCATGGGCAACACTTAGGAGGGATTCAGCTGTTAGCTGTTGACAGACAGCACTACCAGAAGCTGAGGAAAAGAAGCTAGGGCCTCGTTCCTGAAAGGGAGATTTGGGGCAGGGAAATCCACCACAGCATCCGCTTACGATATTCACCTACATCTACAGCAGGTCAAGTGAAATTTAACAGAATCAAATCACTACATTCTGATTGCCACATCAAAAGTACATTCTAGCACATTCCATGATATCTCCAGACTCTTTTTAATAATTACTCCAACGGTTACTTTCAGTTTGGAGCTTTTCTGTGTTGGAGTATATTTTTTCAGTAATTATAATTTTTTCAATATTTGTTTGACCTTGTTTTCCTGTGTGCTTTTTAATTTTGCGTGGCATTATAAAATATAATACTTAAATACCGATGGAAATAGAGCTTTCTCTAGAAATCATTATGTTTATGTAGTATAGTAGACTATCTCAGGATATAATACTAAAATACCTGAGAAATCTATACCAATTTGTAGACCTAGAGATAGTCATAATTAAAATCCCACAAAGAACAATAATATAAAGGGACAGAGGAAAGTTGTCATGGTAACCAACTCTTGACTTTCCTCATTTCATAGCACAAAAATATTAACCTTTATGACAACTTAACAATATTTTTCTATATTGTATTTTAACCTGTGTCCATTTTATATACTATATTTGCTAAATATTTAGCTGAATCATTCGTTCTTCAGATTTAGCTTCTTGCATTATATTTTAAAGTAGTTTTTTTGAAAAATATTGGATTTGGAAATTAAATCTATTCTGTAAGTCAAAAGAGAGCCAGTTTTTTCAAGGACAAAACAGATAGTTTTCAAGGGTTTTTTTTGTGCGTGTGTGTGTGTAATTTAAAATAATTCAGGTTTATAACATATCAACAATATAGACATAAGAAACACAATTTCACCATATGGTTAACATTTTTAAATATATCTTTCCAGCCTCTTTTCTACAAAGTATTTTTTTATTTAGAGAAATTAAACACACTGTACATGAGGTCAGAATCTGCATTTTTCACCTTAAACTCTAATATATTTCCAGGTTTTCTAACATTTACCTTTAAGGTGATTTTAATAACATCATTTTATAGATTATCATAATTTAAAAGTCTCTTTGTTAGACAGTTAGTTTCCAGTATTTTTAGTATTATAAGTAATGCTATTATAAGCACCCTTATATTAAATTGTTTTGCACATCTATGATTGTCTGTTGTGAATTCCTAGAAGCAGAATGAGCACCTCTAAAGCTTTTTGATATATTCTTTTAGTTTGCCCTCTATAAAGAATTTTTCCTTTCCCCCCCCACCTTCATTATATATTTTTAGCCAAATTTATAAATAAAGATATCTCATTGTCATTTTAACTTTGTTCTTTGATTATGTGTGAGATAAAACAGCTTTTCCTCTGTGTGTGTGGTTGTTATGTTTTATTTTACTTTTTTGGAGGGTGGGGATTTGTATTTCTTTCTTTGGGAATTGCTCATGTACGTCTCTTATGCTGACTTTCTTTTAGAAGGGAATTTATTTTTCTATTCAATCATATTTCCCTTGGCGTATTCCAGAATACTTAATTCCACTTAATCAAACTAAATAACTATCTCTAAAATTAAGTAATCTGTTTCCTTTCAGCAAGATGACTTGCGTTTTCCATTTACCAGTAAAACTAGTGTTTTTAAGTCATAAATATCTTTCAAGTACCAATTTGTTTAATAATACTTAAATGTTATTATGATTCAACAGCAGAAAGAACCTTGGAGTGGGCTAAATCTGGGCTGGACAGATTACTTAACCTCTCCAAGTCCCAGTTTCTTCTATAAAATAAGATTGAATTACTTTTCAGGGCTGTAATGAGAGTTAAGGATATGATATTTAAATATTGATGACAGTAATTACACATATTAGGTGCTTAATAAACGGAATCTTTAGTAATTATCATCCACATTTAGTGTTATTGTATCTTAACATGCCCCTTATTATACTGTTTTTCCAAACTACAAGTTTCAAACCATTAGTGGATTTTGAAATCAATGTGCACAATTTTGAGGTACAATTAGAACTTTTTAGTGAAAAAGAACATAGTATTGAATATTTCAGAGTACTTCACATATAATAAGGGCAAGTGTTTACTGTGAAACTTTTGCTCAGTATATAACATATAGGCAGAGAGATGTATGTATACTAGATCACAATGTAAAATGTATTTTTTTACTATGGATTGAAGTGAAAAACTATTTTATTGGATATTGTCTCTTATAATGTGCAAAGTCCCTTATACTATCGTGGCTAAAATACCTAGATTAAAATCCCAACTCCACTAATTACTACTGTATCACTTTGAACCAAGTGCTTAATCTTTGTTACTATTGCTTTCATTTCCTCATCAGTGAAATGGGGCGGTAATTATACCTATCTCATGGGAGGACTATAAGAACTATATGAGTCAATAGCAGGTGCTCAGTAACTTAAACAGAGTCATATATTGTTATATACTTAACCTATACACTGTTAGCTGTTATTAAGACTTGAGTAGAATACAATCTTTTAATTGACAGTTCCACAATAATAGTAGGAGACTTCAACACACCACTTTCAGTAAAGGAGAGAACATCTAAAAAGAAAGTCAGCGAAGATACAGAAGACCTGAAGGGCACAATCAGCCAACTTGACCTCACAGACATATATAGATCACTCCACCCAACAGCTGCAAAGTACACACTCTTTTCCAATGCACATGAAATGTTCTCCAGAATAGACTACATCTTACGCCACAGAGCAATCCTCAATAAGATCGAAAAAGTTCAGCTAACACAAAGTATCTTCTCTGACCACAACACTATCAAGGTAGAAATTAACAAAAGGAAGAGGACGGGGAGGGGGACAATTACATGGAAACTGAATAACAACCTGCTTACAAACCACTGGGTAAAAGAAGAAAGCAGAGAATGGAATCAAAAAATTTCGAGAAACAAATGAGAGTGAAAACATATCATACCAAAACCTTTGGGACACAGCAAAGGCAGTCCTCAGAGGACAATTTATAGCAACAGATGCACACATCAGAAAAGAAGAAAGAGACAAAAACAAAACATTAACTACAGAATTTGAACAAATAGAACAGCAAAAAAAGTCTACAGCCACTAGGAGAAAGGAAATAATAAAGACCAGAGCAGAAATAAATGAAATAGAGAATAGAAAAACAATAGAAAGAATCAACAAAACCAAAAGTTGGTTCTTCAAAAGGATCAACAAAATCAACAAACCACTGGCCAGACTGACAAAAGAAAAACAGAAGAGGACACAAATAACCCAAGTAAGACATGAAATGGGGGACATTAAAACAGACCCAACTGAAATAAAAAGAATCATAACAGAGTCTTATGAAAATCTATACTCCAACGAATTTGAAAACCTAGAGGAAATGGATAAATTTCTAGAAACACA